GGATTTCATTTGGATTCTGTCTGGATTGGGCTCCGTGTGATAAGGTCCTAGGTCATTACACAAGGCATCCAAAGCTGTCTCTGTCCCATAGCCAGACTGAAACCAGTTTGAAATTGATCATTTTTTTCTACTCCTAATGCAAAGGTAGATGGCTCAGTGTTGGGGGGTCTCATTTCCCCTTTCAGAACCCAACAGAGCCTCACCCTCCACTGCCACCAGAAGCTTGCTGCCACCAAAGTTTCTGCGGCTGCAAAAATCCTACCAATTTAACTGGAAAACATGCTTCAGGACTTACAGGTCATGGGGATGGCAACTTTGAAAGGAAATAAATTCATGTTTTCCACATGCCACATTTCTCAGAAGAACTGATGGGATTTTTGCAACAACAGTCATGGAAACTGAGGTGGTAGCTAGAATGCAAAGGGGATGCACAAACAAAAAAGCAGCCTGTATATTGCCAACCCTTTTATAAATCACATATGGCAAAAGCCTGAAAGTAAAGATAGTATGTAGTTCTCTAGTTTCAGATGGAGATCTAAAATAATAATATTAGAAAGAACCTAAAATCAGGAAACCAGCTTGGGCAAGGCTCACAAAACTGAAGGCAAACAAGACAGCTTACCTGTGCACATTTTAAAAATGCACGTTCTTTCTTTGTCTGAGAAGCTGTTCCATTGCTTTAAATATTTGTGGATAGTAAATACTGGATCATCCGAGGCTACTCTGGTGTCTGGAAGACGTCAGGAGCTGTATTATGAAGATGAAGCAGCACCCAGAAGGCTCTTGAGTCAAAAGATTCATGGCTTCAGTGGTATCAGCAGAGAAATGCTTCATGTTCATTAGCTATGGTTTAGTACCCAACACATTCATCCAAATTATACGTGCATAAAAATGCAAATTAAGCACAGCCCTCTGGTTCATTATACATTTTCCAAATAGCCCATATAACTGAAGGAGCAACTCACCTGTGATATAAAGTCCTAAGAAGTGGCAAAGCAAAGAGAGCTTTGATCAACTGAGTTTTTTTAAAAAAAAATGGGATTGGATTTGAAGGAAGGGTTTGGGACAGAAAGAGTTGTCTTGTGACTCAAAAAGAAGAGTCATGTGAGATTCAGCACCCAGAAATGGAACCATAACCCAGTGGTGAGCATGTGGGATTTTGCATGAAAAGTCCAATTCCGGCAGCTTCAGTTGAGAGGACTGGATAGCAGATGACAGGAAGAGTTCATCTTTTGGAGAGCTGTTGCCAGTCAGATTAGATAATACTGACCTTGGTAGATACATAATCTGAATAAAGAAGCTTTCAATGCACTTAACTAAATAGAACTTGCCTTCTTCCATAACACAATAGCAGTCCCACTGCCCCCAGCACAGTGTCTTGTGTTTGCCATAGCATAGGAACCAATGTGTCGCAGTGGTTAGAGTGATGGTCTGGAATATTGATCCGGGTCTAAGTCTCTGCTAAGCTATTCTTCCTCTCCTGGTCTACTCTGCCAAGTCATTGTGAGGATAAAGTGGGGAGAAGGAAAGACACACATGCTGCCTTGAGTTCATGTGAGATATTCTTCTAATTTTGTTGTTGTGTACCTTCAAGTCATTTGCGACCCTATCACAGGGTTTTCTTGGCAAGATTTCCTCAGAGGTGATTTGCCATTACCTTCCTCAGAGGTTGAGAGAGCAGGACTCACCCAAGGCCACCCAGTGGGTTTCCATGGCTCTAAATATAACTACTGCAATAAATTAAAATGATTGCACACATATAAGAGGGAAAGCAAAAGGGGATGCAGTGGGTCAAGTAGTTAAGACACTGACTGTGCTAATTGCAAGATTGGCAGATTGGCAGTTCAAGGCCTGGGTGCTGCATGATGGGGTGAGATCCTGTCACTAATCCCAGCTTTTGCCAACCTAGCAGTTCAAAAGCATGCAAATGCAAATAGAAAAATAGGTACCTCTTCAGTGGGAAGGTAAACAGCATTCTGTGCAATCATGCTGGCCACATGATCACAGAGTAGTCTCTGACAACGCTAGCTCTTTGGCTTAGTAACGGAGATGAGCACCACCCTCTACAGTCGGACACAACTTGATAACCTTGTCAGTGGGGAATACATTTACCTTTACCACTACCTAAAAGTGTTCAACTCAGGAGCTTTATAGGTACAGGGACTATGTCCACCTCAGTCCCAGGTAATCCTGGCATAAACTGCACACCAAATAATATTATCTATTCTGAATTATGAATGTTGTAGTGTGTGATGGAAGAGGAATAGAAATCCCCATGTTTTCCACACATTACAGTAGTATCCATGGCTTACATAGAGGCTATCTCTGTAAAGGGAGAAAACCATGTAAGAACAAGAAAATCTTGGGGCAGGGGTTGTAGCAGCTGATTGAAAACATGGCCCCAGGAATATTTATTCCTTCATCCTTTGAAAGAAAGAACCAAAGTACTTTTAAAAGAACATAGTGCCGCAAGGGAAGACAATTAATGATTGCTTTTAATTACATTTGTATCCATCTTTCTTCCAAGGACCTCAGGGCAGTGGCCATGGGTTCCTCCCACAGGTATTACTTTCAATACAACCTTGTGCATAAGGTAGACATGTGCCCTATTTTATGGATGGCAGCCCTCTATTTAAAAAATGGTCCAGCCAAGTCCAATTTAAAATTTAAAATTCTCCCTCAGAAGGGAGAGTAAGGTTGCCATTAATGGGTATAGCTAGAGGTTTAACCAGGAGTCCTCTCACACTACAAAATATTAGCGCTATGCTTCCACTTTAACTGTCATGGCTACCTCCTATGGATAGGGTTGCCATTTCTCAGTTTTTGCCAGGACATTCACAGATTGGAGGGTCCAAAAATGTCTCATCCTGGCTGGGATGGGGATTCCTGCCTCATTTCAGGCCACATGTTGTCAATCTCCAGTTGACTGGAGAAAATATGGCTGGAATAAGACAGAAAGTCTCCTCCTCCTCCTCCTCCTCCTCCAAAATGGACTCTCAGTCCTCGCACATCCACTTGCCTCCTCCTGGGGCTGAGGCAGCCTCGTCCTCAACCCTAGAAGATCCAGTGAAGCCAGCTAGGCCTCCCTGGGTCTGGAGGAGGTAGTGCTGTGCTTGGGCCTCAACTGAGGCCCTAGAAGATGATAGAACATAAGGTAAGGCACCTCAAGCTGGGTGCTGGGCCTTCTACTGCTGTCTCCACCTCCCTTGCCGTGTTTTGGGCATGGCAAGCGGGCAAGCGGCAAGGAGGCCTAGGGGCTGGTAGGCCTCCCTGGGGGCTCAGGGGATGGAGGCTTAATGTTTTTTTTAAAAAAAAAATATTAATGTTTTTGGCCTTTAGTTGGGCATGTCCTCCATTTTTTCTTGAATGTCTTACATTTGCCCCACATTTTGCCCTACATTTGTTTACATTTTCCCCTACATTTTGTCTGTTTTGTGGTAGATAATTATGGCAGCCCTACCGATGAAGTCTTTGTAGTTTGATCAGAGGCAGGAGAGAAGCTCCCTGGATAAGGATTCTGAATGATCCTCCTAAAGTGCCAATCCCAAGATTCCATTGGATGTTATCATGGCAGTTAACCTGGAATCATAGAGCTAGTGTGAAAGAAAGCTCATCTGAACACAATCTGTATGAGTATTGTGACATGTATTGTACTTCTTTTTCAAGTATAGTATTTGTTTCTATATTTTGATCTTATCATTGTATGCTTTCAAGTCCCTTCTGACTTATGGCAACCCTAAGGTGAACCTATCATGGTTTTCTGGGGTTTTGGTAAGATTTGTTCAGAGGGTTTGCCCTTGCCATCCTCTGAGGATGAAAGACTGTGACTTGCCCAAGGTCAACCTGTGGGTTGTAATGGACTAGCAGGGATTTGAACCCTGGTCTCCAGTGTCCTAGTCCAACTTCCAAACCACTACATCACCTTGGCTCTCTGTACTTTTTTTTTATCTATAACATAAATTTGCATATGTATTTTTATGCAATTCTGTTTCCTACTTTTTTTTTTTTGTGACTTCTTATTTTTAGGAAGGGACCAGACCATGTTGTCTGAGAGCTAGGCTAGGCAATTCAGACAAAAAGTGACAGACTCAGGATCACTCAGGGAGCTGAATGCCCAAGTGAGGATTCATACCCTAGTCTTCCTGAAAACTCTTCTGATATTCCAGTCATACCACCACATTTCGACCAAACTTGAAGCTGAATATGAACTTTATATTTGAGCTGTATGAGTGAAATTGCAAATACATCATTATAAGTGAGCTCCTGTAGTTTCCTTAGACTATAGTCTTCTGTATTCATGCAAATTAAACATCAAAACCACCACTTGGCAGTAAAAATGCTACTTAAATGTGATCTATACAAGGATACCTGAAAGCCTTAATAACCATGCTGTGCAACAGGTCTGCGGGCCAACACTCTCTGCCAGGAATGTCATCACCTAACAAACTACCTGCAATTAAGCTTTTAGAAATATCTGCCCTTAGGTGAGTGAGAAAGAAATATGGTTCATATGGAGATAATAAAGGGGTGCAACATGCAAACAGCATCAGCAGTGCTCTGGCTGAAAACACTTTTACTCTCTCTCACTCTCTTGCTCTCTTTCTCCCCATGGAGGCTTTTTCTTGAAGAATTGTGGTCACTTTCCCTGAGGAGAAATCTAAGTCTGACCCATGTCTATTGTTATAAGTGCCAGCCAGTCCTTTTGGCACCAGCTGAGTGTTCTTTCTCAGTCATGTAGAGCTTTTAAAATTAATTATATTATATATTTTATTATTATTATTATCCCATTCATGGGCATCCTTGACAAATGCCAGTGTTTTCTCATTTTCTGGTCACAAAGCAAAGCCAGCTTTCCACACAGTATTCTATTATAGTGTATTCTGGCCCTCAAAGAAAACTTTAAAAATAAATTGTAGGTAAGACTCTACTACTTTCTTCTTTCCATGAACACAAAAAGCCTCTCAGGATTCAAGGCTGCAATGTATTAGCACATCTCTTTGGACAACATTCACCATGACACATGAGCCCCATTCCAGCCGTAGAGGAGACAATTAATCCAGGACAAAAATTAATGACCCCAAGAATGGCCACTTTGTTCTGGTTTCAAATGTTGTGATTAAGCAATTGTTTGTATTGCTTTTTACTTTCTGATAGCCAGTGGCTGAAACAAATAGAATACTGTAACAGAAGAGTGGAGTTAAGATGTCATATAAGCCTCCTGTCTCACTGCAATTGTGTTATTTAAAGAGGAAAACATACTGGTTTGGGAGCTTTAATTATCAGTCTTCTCTGGGATAGTGCAAAGGTGCTGTTTTTTCAATTGATGGTTCCAAGTGCTCTCTTCCTCATTTCTTCCATAACCATGCCTTCCTGCCCTATGCCCTACCCAGTGTGTCTTCAGGTTGTTGTTGTTTTTAATTTTAATTTTTAACACAATTATGGAATTATGATAACCTCACACCTAAGGACAAATAGGAAAGCAGCAGCATTGGGAGTTTATTGATGGGTTTTCTGATCAATGAAAAGGAACACTCTACCAATGCTTTAAAGGCAAAGCAGATAAGAGAGAGAAACAGAGACAGACAGAGAGAGAGAGAGAGAGAGAGAGAGAGAGAGAGAGAGGGTGGTATGTGATAGGTATGGCCAAAGATACTATAATTTTGGTTTAAAAGCCTTGTGTGATAATGTTCTTAGTGGCTCTGGAATGCAACAATCCAAATATAGTGCAGAGTGAAGCAATACTTGCAAAGAGCAGCACAGGTTCTTGAGGTACAGATCCCTGGTTAAGCATTTGAAGAGTCTTCTCAACCATTTGACTGAGTTCTTCCCCCTACTCCAAAGCTAGTAATTTATATTTTTAATAATAATAATAATAATAATAATAATAATTTATATCCTGTCTCTCTGTAAAATACAACCGAGGTGGCTTAAAAGATAAAACAAACAGTCCTGTCCCCCAATAGCCCATCCCCCCTTAAAATACAATTAAATGATTGAAATTTAAAACATACTTAAAATGACATTACAATAAATAGCAAGTAAATTAAAATAACTGTAATGGTAAACAGGGGCAGGCATAATTTTTTCAGTGGCTGGTTATCTACTCAAGAAAGGCCTGCCAGAAGAGCTCTGTCTTAACAGCTTTTTTAAAGCTGTTTAAGGTGGTCAAGTGACGGATCTCATCCGGCAGGACATTCCATAGTCTGGGAGCGATAGCTGAAAAGGCCCTCTGGGCAGTTGCAGATATTCTAGTTATTATAGGTAGCAATAAATTCTTCCCAGAGGACCTCAATGCATGGGGTGGATTATACAGAAGGAGGCAGTCCTGAATATAGGTTGGACCCAAGCCATTTAGGGCTTTAAAGGTGATGACCAACACCTTGTACTATGCCTGGAAACTGATAGGCAGCCAGTAAAGCAATCTTAGAATAGGTGATATGTGGTCTCTTCTGGTTTTGCCTGAGACCAGTCTGGCTGCCATATTCTGTTCCAATTGACATTTCTGAACTAGGCACAAGGGTAGCCCCATGTAGAGTGCAATGCAGAAATCGAGACGAGAAGTTACCAGTGCATGTACCACAGTTTCAAGGTCCTAATCTTCAGGAAAGGGCGTGGCTGGCATATCAGCCAAAGCTGATAACAGGTGCTCCTAACCACCACATTCACCTGTTTTTTTTCACCTGAAGTGATGGATCTAGGAGCACCCCCAGACTGTGAACACAGTCCTTTGAGGAGAATGTGACCCCATCTAGGACTGGAGATTGTGTCCCAATACCTGGGTTCAGGGCTGTTACTGTTAGTACCTTCATTTTCTCTGGATTCAGTTTTGATCTGTTTTTCCTCATCCAGTCCATTACCGCTTTAAGACAATCATTGTGAGGGGAGATGCCATCTGAAGTCAAGGCTGTAGACCGAGACATGGAGAAATATATCTGGGGGTCATCAGTGTACTGATAATACTCCGCCCCATGTCTTCAGATGATCTCTTTCAGCAGCTTCATATATATGTTAAATAGCATTGGGGACAGGATGGCACCCTGAGGGATGCCACAATTAAGCTCCTTTTTAGTTGAGCAACTGAGCATCACCCTCTGGAATCTTCCCGAGAGGAAGGAATGGAACCATTGCAGTGCAATGCCACCGATTCCTAATCCTCTCAGGCGTTCAAGAGGATGTCATAGTCTATTGTGTCAAAGGCCACTGAGAGGTCCGGTAGCACCAACAAGGTCACACTACCCCTGTCGATACCCAGACGAAGGTCATCAGCTAAGGCAACCATGGCAGTCTCCACTCCATATCCTGTACTAAAGCCAGTTTGAAATGGATCCAGATAATTGGTTTCATCCAAGACAGCTTGGAGCTGAACAGCAACAGCCCTCTCAATCACCTTGCTCAAAAAAGGTAACAAAGAGACTGGCCTATAGCTATTCATGTCCAGAGAGTCAAGGGAAGTTTTTTTCTGAAGCGGCCTCATCACCGTTTCCTTCAAACAAGATGGAACATGACCTTCCCTAAGGGATGCATTGATGATGTCCGTTAGGAACATCCTCAAGACATCTCCCCCCTGGATGGCTAGCCACAAAGGGCAAGGATCAAAAGAGCAAGTTGTCTTCCTCACTCTAACAAGGAGCTTGTCCACATCATCAATACTAACCGGTTGGAACTGATCCAGTATAATCTTATAAGCGGAGTTGCTGGATACCTCATCTATTAATTCTACTATAATGCTGGATTCCAAGTCTGCTCTTATCTGAGAGATTTTATCTGCAAAGAAGTTGTTAAACATGTCACAGCAGGCCGTTGTTGGGTTAAGTAATGGGTTCTGCACAGCAGGCCGTTGTTGGGTTAAGTAATGGGTTCCCTTACCACCCTAAACAGCTCTGCTGGATGGGACTCTGCAGACACAATACATGCAGAGAAGAAAGATATGTATTGCCTCTCTATAGGAACAAAGAAATTTCCTATGATGAGTTCTGTCAGATAAGAGTCGAGTTTTCCAGCAGACGCTCTCTAATCATTGTCCAACCCACTTCATCTTCCTGAGTTCTTCGGTATACTATGATTGATGATTTGGAGCGGGTTGGAAAGGACACTTGGGAGCAATCGTGTTGATAGTCTTGGCAAGATTGGTGTTCCAGGTATTAACCAAAACCTCGACAGAATCACCATAAAACCCTCTAAGGCTTTCTGAAATCCAGTTAGTTCCATTAGCCTTTGAGGGCAGACCATTCTAATGGGCCCTCCACCCCCGACTGGACAGACAGTGGTTCTGAGTTCAGCCTTGACCAGGAAATGATCTATCCATGACAATGTAGAGATTTTTATTATCCCCACTCACACATATTCCTGTTCCATACTGAAGACCACATCGCGGGTATAACCTACAAAATGCATGGGCCCAACGACCAATTGGGATAGGCCCATGTTTGTCATGGACTCCTGAGCAGCACCTGTTAGATTTGACAAAGTGGTCTCAAGTGGAATGTTGAAGTCACCCGAGACTAAAAGTCTAGGCAATTCCAACAGCAACTCTGAGACTAGTTGTTTCAGCTCAGTTAGGGAGTCTGTTAGACAATAGGGTAGATGGTATACTAGCAGAATCCCCAAACTATCCTTGGTCCTCAGGCTCAGGTATATTCACTAGAAGTGGACTGTTTTCCAGATAGGTATCCTGGTCAAGGTAAGATGATTCTTATAAACCAAGGCCACTCCACCCCCTCACCCACTTCCCCTTACCTGCTCACTGACAGAGTACCCAGCTGGGAGGGCCTGCGCCCAAGTTATAGTACTGCCTTCTCCCAGCCAGGTCTCTGCAAGGCAAGCCAGGTTGGCATCTTCATCTAAGAGATCATAAATGATCTGGGTCTTGCTTCTGACTGACCTGGCATTGCAAAGGAGCAAAGTAAGGTTCTGTGGTATCGTTGGTGT